TAGATAACTGCCGACTACCCACTCTTTGTATTCAACAAGGGCTTTAATAAAAAATTCTTTTCCATGTACTTTTAATAACCTTTGGGACTAAAAAGGACCTCAGTAAAAATAATTTTGAATGCGTTTATAAATCCCCCAAAAATGTGAGTTAATCTTCAGCCAATGCGCTGTAAGTTGATTGAGAATTTAATTTTACACTTTCGGCTGTGATCTGATCCGAGCAGCTGAAAACAAAAGATAAATCCCCATGTTTTTTTCCCAGGCACCAAAAATGTTCTGTGGGAAATTTCAAGATTTCCCGTCGATTTAAAATTGATTTTTCTTTCCTTTGATGAACATAATTTAATGACTATGAAATATTTTTTTCCGTTACATTCTTCACAACTTAATGATCATTCGCGTTGATTGCTGTGGTGCAAATTTTAGTGAAGGGGTTTAGAAAAAAGGAAGGTATTCAATGAAAAAAAGGCCAAAGAGATTATTTATTGGCCACCTGTGAAATGTATCTTGCCCAGTTTCCTTCGCTAATGAACCGCGGAAAAAATTAATTTCACTGAATCTCTTTATTGTATATAACAAGGAAAAGTATTATCTTTTTGCTAGATTGGACCATATATTAGTGGTAAAAACTCAGACGATATTTCTCTAAGTGAAAAGGACGTTCCAGGTGGAAAGAAACTTCACAGTTCACATGTGCATGGAAATCCGTGTTTTTTGCGCATCCATGCAGACATGCCTGCTAAATGAGATGCCGTGCATCTTACGCTTATATTATTTTTAAACCCTTACTCACTTATTTGCATAATTCTGCAGCTGACGAACCATTTCCAAAGCTTTTGCTTCAAGGGTGAAATACTTTTTTAATTTCTTCCTCGGGTTGTTGTTGAAGAGTTCGCGGAATGTAGTGAAGAAAAACTGCAGAACGCCGGTATTTCATGTGGAAACACGAAAATATGTGAATTTACCTATAAGTATCCTGATTAATTAAAATGAAGTTGTAAACAAAGAGTGAGAAGAAGAGGTTGATTTGAGTTTAAGATAAAATACGTTTTGTGGCACATTTTCCGTATCACAGATGTCGCTCCTCTGAGCTAATAGAAGCAAAAGCTTTGTTTCATGCCAAAGAAAACATGGTCTGAGGACTGTGATGAAACAAGAGAATAAATCAGTTGCAAACCAGAGAATGAAAAATTTCCTCAAATACTTTTTGGAAAAATTTGCCCATCATGCTCAAATGGATTTACTGTAAATTTAGAAGATATGGAGCAGGGCAATGTGCAGCAGTGAAATGAAAAATGTTGCAGTTGAAGCGGTTGTATTTTCTAATGTTACACTCATATCTGCATTTTAATCATCCGAAATAAGCAAAAACTCGATGTTTACTCTGTCCTAAAAATCCCGGTGAAATACGAGTATTTCCAAATATTTTATTCACAGAAAAATAATGAGGTGTTCAAGAATTTCTGAAGACTGAATAAAATTTCGCCCTTGATTATGTATTTTGGGGATGATCTGTATCATGACCCAATTCCATTTTTGTGGGGAAATGAGTTCTATTTTCTTCCTCGGCAATATTCTGCAAGATCAGCAGACATGTTCCTGAAATCTCTGGAAAAGTCTGACTCAGGCAACCAAGAAGTAGCTTTTAATCCTGTGGTCATTCTTTTGTCGAAGATTGAATCATGAACGAAAGCAAGTAATGGAAGAAATAATTTCGAAATTATCCTTAAAATATCCATTTAGCTCTATAGTTCCAAACTTCCAATAAGAGGTCATGTATACGTTTAAAAAGTGAGAAATCGAACTGAAGTTCATCCAGAAACAAAACCGAATCAAACAAGAAAATCATGCATTCTTTCGAATTCCCTAGAATTATTCCAGAAATTGGTCCAAAAAAAACGAAATGTGAGGCGGAAACCAACTTTGAAAAAAAAGGAAAATATGGTCCTTAACAATGTAGAAAATGATACACAAAACATGCGGGAATGTGATTCTTGGCACAAGCCATCAGTTTGATTCCACCTTCCCACAAAAAAAGAACAATTTGGAGAAAAAATGTGGCATTGAACAGAGAGGGGTTATTCATCCTGCTGAATTTATTGTATTATCCAAGAAACCAGAGGGAATGTGAATCCTGAGACACGTCAGTCAACAATTCGAATATATAACTGTACAATGGATCCCCGCACAAGAGACTTTTGCACAACAGACTGCCTCTGAAGGCAGTTTTCTCTCCTGCCCAATGGACTAAATCCACTCAACAGACTTCTGTTGGTTAAAAATTGATGCTAAAAAGTAAAAATTTCAATTTTTTAATATCTGAGTTTCCATAACAGACTTTTCACACAACAGATGACTGGTCTTTTGCAAAAATGAAGTCCATTGTGCAGGAGTTGACTGTATAATGCATATATTGGATAAATCTGTTAACCTAGATACTTGTACACTTGTTGCATGGTTCTCTATACCAGGAAGAATTACCAATTTTATTTCCTTCCAGGAACAAGTGGTGATTTTCTCCCCCTACAGCTGTTCCTTGTTTTTCACTCTTCTATGTGCAAACAATTTCTGCATTAATGCATGACACTTTTCCCCTCAGAAGGCCAAGCGCCTATTTTCCTCTCTTCATTGCTGACAGTGATGGATGCCACTGTGACAGATTTTCTTTGACACTGAGGGATTCAAGAGGAAAATCCTCTTGTATATATGTATATTTTTGATTGAATGTATTTTACCTTATGTATGTATTTCACCTGATGTGTTCTATTAAAAATATGCATGAGATTTACCTCATGAATTTCCATGGCTTGAAGGAATCTTGGTTATCCTGGATTCCTGTCAAGTCTATATCTACCTCTGAATTTCCTGAGCAAGCCTCAGAATTAATCCAAACCTCAACAAGGTTTTTTCTCAGGAAGCCTTGTAAAGAATTTTGCAATACTTCCTTATTTCCAAACTTTGTATCTGTTGTGAATCTTGAAATATATATTGTCTAATATTTTTATATACAGTATTCTTGCATATATTATTTTATTGGATAACAAATCAATCATTTATTCATTCCTGCAAAATTTACAAAGTACTGCACTGCATTAAAAATAAATGGAGGGACAAATCTTTTTCATCCATCATTGCATATTTAAAAAAAAGTAATGTTGACAAAGGACAATAAGCACAAAATACAGAAAATCCCGGCAAAGAATAAAATCGTTTATCCTCTGTACATACCAAAAATATTATTGCGGAACTGAGATGGGGCGGAATGAACTTTGATTTCTGAGACAGCTGTTGAACGTAGGAAAATTATTTGTTCCATATCCTCTTCTTCAATTCATGAAATAATTCACAACAATGTAAACGTAAATTCCAAGTCCCTCATGCCATTGATCAAAAAGCTTGGATCATGTGTTGCAATTCCTCATTTCCCGACGATGAAGAATGAATCGCAGAGGAATGCGAGACGGAGTTTCTGTCCCTCTTGATGCTAAAATCATAATAATAATAAAAAATCTCTAGATTTTCTGGAAAAACACGCACGCACAAGCATAACGGGTCTGCTGCCCAGGAACCCAAATTCCAACATTTCTCCCAACAACAACAAAAAACAGTTTCAAACCCGAAAAGACTTAGAAGAAGAAGGAGAAGAAGAAGAAACATGGCAAAGACAGGGGAAAAAAATCCCGAGAAAAGCAGCTCTCTCTCTGCGGAGACGGCGTTCGAAAATAGCTCGGGCTCCGCGCGGGATGACGTGTTTCCTCTTCCGCGTTTCCTTTCCAGAGGCGTCCCTTCTGGACAGAAACGTCGGCAGTCCGCCGAGAGAGAGAAAGAAAGAAAGAAGGAAAGAAATAGAGAACCACTACTGTGTGTTCTTGAACACTAAAGTCAGTCAGTCGTCGGTGGTTTTCCAGCCCTCGCAGGCGACACACCCGCATTCCGAGGCCAGTGTCCCGACCAAGCGTTTGGCTGGTCAGGTCAGGTCAGTCCGCCGCCAGCTGACAGCAAAAAATGGATCACATAAATTTTTTTTTCTTCATTCATTCATTCCGCATTCCATTCCTGATGCGACTCGTATGACATGCTTCGAAAAGTGCAGAAAGGAACAAATATGTGTGCGTGTCTGATATGAGACAGTGTCAAATATTTTGCGTGAATGTGATTCAGTACGTGTTTCGCTGAGAGAAAAAAAAAGTGGAAAGATCTCATCCATAATATTTGCACGACGCTATTGACTTATGTTCTTGTATTGCGTCTTTTTTTTAAATAGGCACTGTTTCATTTTCTCGACTAATAGGCCGCATAAATGGTGCGGCCTATGGTATAAGGTACCTGGACTTGAAGAAAAGGGTCTGTGCTTTTAAATTGTAAAGATTGATGAATAAACAACATCTTGAACTTTATAATTTAAAAAAATGAATTTGAAAACTGCTGAAAGCTATTTAAAACCATGCTAACGACTTCTAATACTATTAGAAAAGGCTCTCAACTCAATTGAAATTTTCATTTCTGCATGAGCCACATTTCTTCTTTTAAATTTCCTGGTTTTTGTGGCGTGGAGCGTTACTTGAAAACTTTTCAAAAGTGCGGCCGATTCAACACGATATTTTCTACATGGCGAACTAAATACAGTATTACGTCAATTAATTTGTAAAACATTTCTTCGCAATTACAAAATTTGAATAACGATAATCTGCTTGCTTTTCTTTCAGCTGATAACAATTTTCGAAAGCAGTACTATGACATATTTGTCAATTTAGACCCAAATTTTCTAAGGAAATACGTTGTGCGAGGCTTTCTCAGGTTTTTTGGAACTTAAAGCGTTCAATTAACAGACATTTTTCATTGTAATTTTATGAATTCACCCCAACTCGTATTTTAGACGCAAATTTAGAGCACCATTGCATGACCAATTCTTTTCAACTGAATTAGGAGCATTCATTTTTTGTAATTCTGTCTCATAATTGATGAATTTTTTTTATCTTTCTCGCTGATCATCGTGGCATAGGTGTCGGCCCGTTGTGCGTGCGACGTGTTGAGGGACGGATTCTCGGAGATATTAGCGAGGTTATCGTGCCAATTCGAAACAAGGAAGACATAAACACAAATTTTTAGTTGAATCGAAACACGTCACGTAGATGAGCAACGCAGCCATGTCATCGACAGTGACGAAAACGAGCAAGTACGTGTATCGATCGACAGGCGGGCACGGCGCCGACATCTCCATCGAGTATGGCACCGACACCGGCGCCTTCACCAGACTCGAGGTGAGACTTTGTTGTTTCTTTTTGCTTCTTTTTTTTGCATGCAAAATTTTTTTGGGCTGAAATTGGATGGTCGAGGATTTCCGAAAGAAAATGGGTAAATTCCTCATTTCGATATATGAGCATATATATAGAAGGCTTTATGAAATTATTGAATATCCCATTTGAAATTAATTCACTGCATGTGTCGACATTTGAAATGGGGCATAAACACGTAACTCCAAAAATTCTCCGGGGAGAAGAGGGAAAATTGTGGGTTTACGTTTTTATAGACCGTGTTATTTTCGCTCCATCATTTTCTTGGCACATTTTCAGTCGGCGTTTTCCTAAAATTTTCTCAGAGGAAGAAATTGGCCTGATATTTTTCATTCTACCCTGAAAGTTGTACAGTATTGATAGTTGTACACTAGAAACTTTGGTCTGTTTTTCAAAGGCTTTTCATTTCGTCGAAAATTTCTCAATTTTGAGGATTAGGGCTTTGAGATTTGCATTATATTTTTTAATAATAAAACCAAAAAAGGGGTAATCTGTGCTTTATTTTAGAGAAATGTTTCTAGAAATTATGAGAAAGAAGCGGGTGGAATCAAAAACTATCATTTTTATGTTTTCCTTTCGCAGCTGATCAATATTGTTATTTTTATTTAAAAAAAAAAACGAGGCTTCGTTTGGGGGTTTGATTATGTATAGAACCCTAAATCTATCGAAAAGCCGTCATCTTACCCCTAATGTATTTTCAAATGTCGGGAGACTACCTATTTTATAAGCATCATTGAATATCTTTCACTGAAAACCTTCCGATGAACCATTGGCAAGAAATAAGTTTTTCAAAAGTTTGAAGAGATTCTTTGAAGATTCGCCTTTTGCATGAGCAATTTTTAAAATCTACCATTTTATAACCTACACTAAAGAAGTGTGACAGCGAACTCAAACCATTTTATTGCCCTTCAGATGTGGCTATTATTCAGCATAGAAAAAGTAAGTAAGACAGAAAAAACTGCGAAGTAATTACGAATCAAGACCATTTCTGGGAATGAGTGAAGTTCATAATTCTTTCCCTTCACGTAAAGCGTTTTAATCTGATGTCAAATGATTTCTTCAAACCACTGTGATTATGATTAGCATTATTTTATGCTAAGTTGAATCATTTACTGTGCTCACGAATTTTTTATGAAATGGATTGTTGAGATAATGTTAGTATCGATTATTGGTAAAAGATTGCTGCTGCAATAATTTATTCATTTATTTTTGACAGTCGTGCAACTGTAACTGAATCTGGAGCCCAAATCACCAGTACAATTTAAAATGGCTTCCTTTTTTATATCAGAGCCCGCATTTATTTGGCCCACAAAATTAATTTCAACGCTTCGATGCGTTCAAATACTTTTAAAACGCTTGAAAATAAATAAGACACGCGTCCAGATTGAGATCGTTTGTGGGAGCCAATTTACGGAAAATTCATCTCGTAAAAAGTGAAGCAAAAAAAACATTATTTTTCTCAACGATAAGGATTGTGGAATATGGCAACTTTTTGAGCAGCTGCTGGTACATGGGAGGAATTTAGTTGTCGTACGCGAGCCAGGACGAGGCTTTCTTTTTCAATTTCAGCTAAAATCCCTAGTTTCGGTTCAAATATATTCCTTTTAGTTATTTACTAAACCCACTGGACTCTAGCCAAGTTTTCCCGGGAAGCATTCCTGACTTTTGCGGTGAAACAAACGCCCGTCGCAGGTCGGGTCAACGCGAAAGGAAAGGAAGAAAGAATCTTTATTTTCCTGGGTGACGTTTCGTCCGAAATCGACTGACTGACACAACTGACAACTTTTTTCTGCTGCTTCTTGTTCGGCTTCTATTCGGGGGAAAATTCCCCTCATTTTCATCTTTTCCGCTGAGGAAACACGAGTGAATGTCTCAGGATGACACGTGACCCAAAGACTAGGTCGAAGAGAAATAAGGTTGACAAAAAACCTAAACGAATAATGTTGATTCTCTTGATTTTCAAATGTTGGAAAGCGCAAATTTTAAATTTTGCTCATAATTTCAAATAGCGCCCATATTGTTTCACGATATTACATTTGAAAGAAGGGATTGGGCCGGAAAATGTGTTCCGGAAGCTGTCGGTTCAGAATATGGGTTCCTCTGTTGAAATTGTTTCATAAGACGTGACAAATATTCATTTCTTCGAAAAAAAAAAAAGTCATTGTGTTGAGGTTAGCGAAGAACACTAGATCCAAGTACTTTCCGTTCTTATCATTTGGCACCGAGTAGAAAGACAAAGCGTCCTTGACAGAAAAATATGCCAACATGATTCACGAAGCCTTGAAGCATAGTATCTTCGAAAATTTTGCTTCAAATTCTTGCATTCGGTACTACATCCTGTTTTTGCATTTTCTGAATCTTGAAGAGCACCATTAAAGACTCAAAATACTCCTTTTGAAGCCCGAAAATTCACTAAATCTGTTGGACATTGCCTATGGTATCATATATTTTTCAATATCTATGCAGTAAAATCTCATTACAACGAAGCTGTTGGGGCCAGAAAAAAGAGCTCCGTTATAATGATAAAATCATTAAAATGTTACTGGAAAATCGTTGTTGCTATTTGAACAGTGCTTTAAAGTGTAAATATAGCCAATAATTCGTTATACAGTAATGAGATTTTACTACGGTATATTGAAATTAGCTGGAATTGCAGTCAAAATATTTTCTTAATTCGGAGGTATTTTTAGCATTTCTATGCTCGAGTTCGGAAATATTTTATCCAACATATTTCCTCCAGCAATAGTTGAGGCAAAGAAAAATGCAATAACCGTTTCTGACTGCGATGAGCATGTGTTATCTATAGGCAAAACCTTCGGAATATATTTGGTCAAATTCTAGCAACACGGATGAGAATCAAGGAAGAATGTCATAGATCCCTCTAGAAAGTGCTGGCACAGCGCGTTGAGTCACGCTTACGCCCTGCTTGCTCCAAACGAGGCGGAGACTGCTTTTTTTTCGAATCCAGCAGGAAGGACGAAATAGGCAAGAAGCAGAAAAAAGAGAGACACACGCACACACAGAAACGGAAAAAAAGAGAAAGAGGAAAAGATAGAAGAGCTTAAATTCTGGAAAGCCCGCATAGAAAGCCAGCAAGGACAACCGAGGGTCAGGACGACGAGAGAAACCCGCGCGCGTCTGGCCTTTCTCCTGGCTCGCGGCCCAGCTTTCGGGTTCCAAAATTAAACCCGTGTGTGTGTGTGTGTGTGTGTGTGTGTGTGGGTTTTCTGCTTCCGGATTTTCCTCTCTCTCTGGAACATTTTTTTCCCTGTCCTTCTTTCTTTCTCAGCTCTGCTTTGTTTTTTTAGTATTATTCCTTTTTCCGTGGTAGAAAATCTCAGAGCAAACAGTGGCTCTGTCTCTTTTTTCGCGCTCTCTCTTTCTCTCTCTGTCTTTCAAGAAGAAAATTTATTTCTCCTTTCGATGTCCTTGAAAGCGTGCAAAACAAAATTCCTGAAACGTACTGATCGACCAGCAAGGGAAGGAATGCGTCAACTATACGAGTTCCAATACGGTGCTTGAAAAAAAATTTATCAGGGAAGTGAAGAATGTTGATGAATAATTTTCGTTTTTTGCTGTTTATTTTTTTTTGGGAAACAGGACAAGATCCGGTTGCTGCAGGAGGACTTGGAGTCGGAGAGGGAACTCCGGCAAAGGGTTTGTATACTCAATGTTTTTTTTTGTTTTGCCATTTATTTATCGATTGATAAATGAAACATTTATATTGTGCAGATCGAGAGGGAGAAGGCGGATCTGAGTGTGCAAGTCATCCAAATGTCCGAGCGCTTGGAAGAGGCTGAAGCTGGCACCGACTGCCAGGTATCAAAACTGTTCATGTCACGGTTCATTTCATTCTTTATATATATATTTTTGAATGTGATTGATTGGATGTTTTTTTTTAGATCGAGTCCAACAAGAAGCGGGACATGGAATTGATGAATTGCCAGGTATCAAAACTGTTCATGTCACGGTTCATTTCATTCTTTATATATATATTTTTGAATGTGATTGATTGGATGTTTTTTTTTAGATCGAGTCCAACAAGAAGCGGGACATGGAATTGATGAAACTGCGGAAGTTGCTGGAGGATGTGCACATGGAGTCTGAAGAGACTGCTCACATGCTGCGCAAGAAGCACCAGGAATCTTTGCAGGACCTCCAAGACCAACTGGACCTTGCCATGAAATCCAGGGCCAAGTATATATACAAAAAATCCTTCGAAATCATCTTTTCATTCTGCGACTTCCTTTTTTTAATTTGTTCGTGCTTAAAACCAATCGTCATATTTTTAAAGTTCAAAGCAGACTATGATGTCATTTATGTTTTTATTTTTTGTAAATTTTTTTTTACTTCACTGACGCCAGAGACGCGATTGAGGGACTGATGTTTTTTTTCATACATAAAAACCTTACAATTAAGTGCCTCGTCGTCAGTGTACAATACATTTATTGAGGGATGAAGCACACCAGTCTTAAAACGGATCAAAGAAGACAAACGAGTTGAATATTCAATCCTAATTGAAAAATATTATTTTCCTGAACTTGGTGCCTAATTAATAACTACTAATTAATAATAACTAATTTTTCCGAAGATTACCTCGAAAATCTCATGAAAATATTTGCACGGAAAATATCTGCATATTAGATTTTAATTTATTTAATGCGAGTCATTCAAGTGGCACTAATATATACCGTATCATAAAATTAGTTCAATAACTCGATTCAAGGAAAACCGAAAAAAAATTCGTACGAGCAAATTTAGTTCGCCTACAAAATTTCCTATGAGCCTTAATTTCTTCATTTGGAATTTCTTCGTGGGCTTGTTCGGGAATTCCCTTGAAATGTAAAATATTAGCATGATATACGCAAATACAGTACCTTATACATTTTACTCACTTCCGCACCCTGTTCTTTTTTTTTCGTTCAGGATTGAGAAGGAAAAGGGCAAGATGCAACAGGAAATCTATGAGCTGCTGAACCAGATCGAGTCGTCGAACAAGGACAAGGTGAATAAAGCAAAGAATGCTGAAAACTGGTCCTTTTAATGCATATTTTCAAGTAATTTTTTAAAAACAAATTCCTCCTCAGATTACAGCAATGAAGACTGCCGAGAAGATGGAAATCACGGTGCACGAGCTGTCCATTCGCATTGAGGAGCTGAACAGGACCATCATTGACATCACGTCCCACAAGTCGCGGATTTCGCAGGAGAACATCGAGCTGGTCAAGGAAGTGCAAGAACTCAAAATTTCAATTGAAAACGTTTCTTATGCCAAGAGCCAAATCGCGACTCAGTTCGAGGACTGCCGTCGGCGATTGGAGGACGAGGAACGGGTACGTTCATAATTTTTTTTTTTTTTTAGGCATTAAATAAAAAAGGCAATGAATGAAGAAAATGCTACGAATTGGCAAATTATAGCTTCCAAATTGCACTGCTAAGTAGGAATGGCTGGAAAAAACTATTTCTAAGCTCTGAAATAATTTTTGCGGATTTTCAATTTTCTTCTTCAGAATACTCAAAAGCCAATCAAGGGTGGTTATTGGCACATCACAGCAATTCTCTTTTTCACATTTACGGAGGATTTTGAAGAAATTTCCAAAAAATAAAAACTGGAAACTGCTGTAGCCAAGATCCAAGTTCTTCTTTTTTAATAGAACACCAGACACAAATGATTTTTTTCACTTTGAAGGGATTTTTACATTTTTATTTTTATTAAACCACCGCCAAAATAGTTCTGCTCAGAAGGGTGACAAATTAATCTTATGGTTTTTGACTCGCTGATTTTTGAATTTCAAGAATGACGAATAAGCAAACGAAAAGGATTTCACGACAAAACAGTCATAACAAATATAATCAAACAATAGAAATAGCAGATCGAACATTAAAATTACTTGAAACTTGATCAGGTTTCAGAAGATGGATCCGAATAAAATAAAATGAAACATGATGTAGGAATCTCTCGACAGTAATTTTCGTTACAAATTCTTGTTCTCGAAGGTCCCGCCGATGTGTCGTCATTTTTTCAGAATTTTTTCATCATTACCAGTATATTTTCCAGATCCCAAGGAATTAACCGATGGCATCAGATTCTGCTTTACATTAAAATAAAACTCTTTCCATTGCCTATATAGGACTAAAATTTACATCAGGCGTGTAAAAGAGTAGATGAACTGTAGGAAAGATCAGCGCAAATATTTAAAACTTTCTGGAGTCACTCAGAAGGGCCACTATACTATATTTATGCCGTCATATTCGCTCAAGATTGACAGGTTATTTATACTTTTGTGACACCTGGCATGTCTACTTTGTTTCCTCCTCCTCCTCCTCCTTCTTCTTCTTCGTTTTCATTTTTTTTTCGAAATTGATTCGCAGAGACGGTCCACCTTGGAGAGCAGCCTGCACACTGTCGAGATCGAGCTGGAGTCCGTCCGCGTGCAACTGGAGGAAGAAGCAGAGGCCCGGCTGGACCTGGAACGCCAGCTGTCCAAGGCCAGCTCGGACGTGATGACCTGGAAAAGCAAGTACGAGTCCGAGTCCACGGCCAGGCAGGAGGAGATCGAAGAGCTGCGTCGCAAGTTCCACGTCCGCATCACGGAGCTGGAAGAGCAGGTGGAGGCGTACATGGCCAAGTGCTCGGGCCTGGAGAAGCAGAAGAGCAGGTTGCAGTCGGAAGTGGAGGTGCTCATCATCGACCTGGAGAAGGCCAATGGCACTGCCCGGGAACTGCAAAAGCGGGCGGATCACTTGGACAGGGTCAATGCCGACCTCAGGTCGAAGCTGGATGAACTGGGTGCTTTGTACGAACAGGTAAAATATATTATAGGTAATTTTAACTCTTCGAAAATAAATAAATGTTGATTTCCTATGGCTATCTGTTGGGTTTTTTGAGGTCTTTGCTGACATGAATCCTCTTCCACAAAAAAAGGCTTCTTTTTGTTCTGATGTTTTTTACTTCTATAATTGGCAGATAGGAAAAGTTAATGCTGAAGGGGAAATTCCAATCATTTATTACCAGGGTGTCCTATTAACCCTCAGACAACTGACTCTTCTTCATCCAACAATGGCAAAGTTATGATTATTGTTGCATTTCAATTTTTCTGAAGGTCAAAGAAGGGACCTGGGAGGAGAAAGCCCAAGTTGGGAATACAGTCAACCCCTACAAATCAGACTTGAATTGTGCAACAGACTAATCTGTTGTGTGAAAAGTCTGTTATGAAAAATTCAATTAAAAAAAGTTTTTTAAACAATTCCATGAATTTTTAATCAATAGAAGTCTGTTATGCTGCAGATTTAGTCCATTGTGCTAGAGGGAAAACCACTTCCAGTGCTGGCAGTTGGTTGGGCAAAAATCCGATGTGTGGATACTATCTTCTGCTGGTAACTGAAAAAAAACACACCCTGTGAAGAATTTTCCCCAGCAAAAAATTTCCTGTCAGCAGAAAAGAGTATCAAACTTTTTCCTCAACTAAGGCTTTGGCTATCAGTTGATGCTTTTTCTTCAAAGCTGTTGGGCACAGCGTTTTACCAAAATATCCTGACTTTGCTGTACAAAAGTTAAATGAACAAAATCCTTTGGAAAAGTATATTCTTGTAAAATATACTTCCCACAATGCTGTTTTAACCCTTGGATGGCAGCAGCCTCCTTTCCATCTCAGGGCAAAGTTGGACTTTTTCTGGTTGGTTTAATTTTTGCACAAGGTTATGCGACCCTTGCCAGGTGGGGATGGGCAAAGCCAGGTTTTATCCAGGGATAAAGAAATGCTGGAAAAGTCTGAATTCAGACTTTTTTCTGCTGTGACCTCTAACATGGTCTCCTGGCTTTCAAGCTTAAATTTAATCTTTCAATGGGGAAACAACACAAGGCTAGGGGAAAAAAGTAAGCCTTGAAGATTTAATTTTTTTTATTTCTGAGTACCATTTTTCTGCGAAATTTTTTTCAATGCCAGTATTTTTCTGGACTTTGCTCTGCACACACTGTTTTGGTTCTTTTTAATGCCATTCTTGAGTGCACCCAAAATCTGTGAAAAAAGTTTGACTTTCCTGCAGAAGGGCTAAACAGTTCCAGATCACCAATATCACTAATGAGACACAGAACAGTGCTGACACACTCATTCATCAGTTCATATGTATGCAGACAGTTCTTGGCCATGCTTAAAAAGTAAGAATAATAACCAAGATGGTCAAAATGCAGACAAACAAGTAACAGAGCAATCACAAATGTAGCAATGTGCAAAATATAGACATCCAAGTTACTATTTAAAAAGTTCATTATACTTTGGTAGCATAATAAATAAAATTATTGAGCAAAACTTTATTGGTCTTTTGCACAGACATGGATTGAAGCAGTAGCTTGCGTTCTGCAAATCACTTTTTTATAGTTCATGCTTACAATGCTTTTTCAGCCAGCAGTACACTGATTTCCTGATTTCAGAATGTAGTCATTTTACAAGCTGTGTAAAAACATTTTAGTTCATTTTTTTAATTATAAGGCGGCAGTATCCGGGTTGCTGGAATTATTTCTTGAAAATATTCAGTCATATAGTCCTGTTCCATGAATTCATGTTTCCCTTACCACCTTGAAATTGCTCGTGTACAAAATTTCATTGTAAATCCAAGTTAAATCTACCCACATTAAAAAGGACATTGTTTGGATTTTTCACAAACCGCACTACTCAGTGGCCCCACACAACGGACTTAATTTGTTCAACAGACAAGTCTGTTGAGTGAAAAGTCTATTATGCAAATTCAATTATTAAGAAATTGAAACTTATACTTTTTACCATGAATTTGAAACCAACATAAGTCTGTTATGCGGATTTATACCGTTTCATGGGAAGGAAAACTGCATCCAGAGGTGATATGTTGTGCGGGAGGTCCATTGTTGTGGGGGTTGACTGTACAGTATTCACATTTTTTACTTCAAAGTATTTTGAAATACCCAGAACTCTCGATGGTTTCCAGAGTTCCACATACATGGCCCTGCATATTTATTTTTTTTCCTGCTTAAGGCTCAACGGGACTTGAGGCAAAAGACCGCAGACATCACCCGGCTGTCCCACGAGCTGGACAAAACAAAGGAGCACCGCGACCAATTGCTGCGCGAGAACAAGAAGCTGGGCGACGATTTGCACGACGCCAAGAACACTCTGGCTGAGCTTAACCGGCGCTACCACGAGATGGAGCTGGAGGTCAGGCGGCTGGAAAACGAGCGCGAGGAGCTCAGCGCCGCCTACCGCGAGGCTGAAGCAGTAGGTTTCCTTCAGCCTGAACTTCATTCGTAATTAAAGGATCTCGGATTTGGCTTTATAGTAATAGATCCTTATTNCGTACATGGCCAAGTGCTCGGGCCTGGAGAAGCAGAAGAGCAGGTTGCAGTCGGAAGTGGAGGTGCTCATCATCGACCTGGAGAAGGCCAATGGCACTGCCCGGGAACTGCAAAAGCGGGCGGATCACTTGGACAGGGTCAATGCCGACCTCAGGTCGAAGCTGGATGAACTGGGCGCTTTGTACGAACAGGTAAATTATATTATAGGTAATTTTAACTCTTCGAAAATAAATAAATGTTGATTTCCTATGGCTATCTGTTGGGTTTTTGAGGTCTTTGCTGACATAAATACTCTTCCACAAAAAAAGGCTTTTTTTTTGTTCTGACATTTTTCACTTCTAATTAGCAGATAGGAAAAGTAAATGCTGAAGGGGAAATTCCAATCATTTATTACCACGGTGTGCTATTATATTAACCCTCAGACAACTGACTCTTCTTCATCTAACAATTGCAAAGTTATGATTATTGTTGCATTTAACTTTTTCTGAAGGTCAAAGAAGGAATACAGTCAACTCCCACACATCAGACTTGAATTTTGCAGCAGGCCAATCTGTTGTGTGAGAAGTCTGTTATGCAAAATTCAATTAATAAAAAAGTTTTTAAAAAATTCCATTAATTTTAGACCAACAGAAGTCTGTTATGCTGCAGATTTAGTCCATTGTGCTAGAGGAAAAACCACTTCCAGTGCTTGCAGTTGGTTGCGCAAAAATCCGTTGTGTGATGGATACTATCTTCTGCTGGAAAACTGAAAAAACACACCCTGTGAGGAATTTTCCAGAGCCAAAAATGTCCTGTCAGCAGAAAAGAAAGTATCAAACTTTTTCCTCAACTAAAGGCTTTGGTTATCAGTTGCTGCTTTTTCTTCAAAGCTCTTGGGCACAGCGTTTTCCCAAAATATCCTGACATTGCTGTACAAAAGTTATGTGAACAAAATCCTTTGGAAAAGTATATTCTTGTAATGTATACTTCCCACAATGCTGTTTTAACCCTTGGATGGCAGCAGCCTCCTTTCCATCCCAGGGCAAAGTTGGACTTTTTCTGCTTGTGTCTGCATTTAATTTTTGCACAAGGTTATGCAACCCTTGCCAGGTGGGGAAGGGCAAAGCCAGATTTTATCCAGGGATAAAGAAATGCTGGAAAAGTCTGAATTCAGAATCTTTCTGTTGTGACCTCTGATGTGGGCTCCTGGATTTCAAGCTTAAAATGGGAAAATAACACAAGGCTGGGTAAAAAAAGTGAGCCTTGAATATTTGATTTTTTATTTCTGAACATTTTTTTAAATACCAGGATTTTTCTTGACTTTGCTCTGCACATAATGTTGTGGTTTTTTTTTTATAATGCCATTCTTCAGTGCACCAAAATGTGTGAACAAATTCTGACTTCACTGCAGAAGGGCTAATAAGCAGAACCAGATCACCAATGAGCCACAGAAGACTGTTGACACACTCATTCATCAATTCAGATGCATGCAGACAGTTCATGACCATGCTCAAACAGTAAGAATAATAACCAGGATGGTCAAAAGGTAGACAACCAACTAACAGAGCAATCACAAATGTAGCAATGTGCAAAATATAGGCATCCAAGTTACTTTGCAAAAATACAAAATCATGCTGCACAATTAATGGCTTAATACTCAAATCCGTCGAGGTCCACTGTATGTCTACAGTTGATGTCAATGGTATCAGTTCATTATACTTTTGGTAAAGTAATAAATAAAATTATTGAGCAGACATGGATTTTAGCAGCTGCTTGCATTCTGCCAAATCATTTTTTTACAATTCATGCTTACAATGCTTTTTCAGGCAACAGTACACTGAGTTCCTGATTTCAGAATGTAGTCATTTTACAAGCTGTGTAAAAACATTTAGTTCCTTTTTTTCAATTATAAGGCGGCAGTTTTCGAAGGATTGAATCACTGAGATTTAAAAGGGTTTTTGGAATTATTTCTTGAAAATATTCAGTCATATAGTCCTGCTCCATGAATTCATGCTTCCCTTCCACCTTGAAATTGCTCATTTACAAATTTCACTCTAAATCCGAGTGAAATCTACCCACATTAAAAAGGACATTGGTTGGATTTGTCACAAACCGTACTACTGTACTCAGTGGCCCCACACAACGGACTTAAATTGTTCAACAGACAAGTCTGTTGTGTGAAAAGTCTGTTATGTAAATTCAATTAATAAATTAAAACTTCATCTTTTTACCATGAATTTGAAACCAACATAAGTCTGTTATGCGGATTTAGCGTGTTTCTTGGAAAAGAAAACTGCATCCAGAAGTTATCTGTTGTGCGGGAGGTCCATTGTTGGGGGGGGGGGAATTGACTGTACAGTATTCACAGTTTGTACTTTAAAGTATTTTGAAATACCCAGAACTCTCGATAGTTTCCAGAGCTTCACACATTCTATATATAGGTCCCTTCATATTTATTTTATTTTTTTCTGCTTAAGGCTCAACGGGACTTGAGGCAAAAGACCGCAGACATCACCCGGCTGTCCCACGAGCTGGACAAAACAAAGGAGCACCGCGACCAATTGCTGCGCGAGAACAAGAAGTTGGGCGACGATTTGCACGACGCCAAGAACACTCTGGCTGAGCTTAACCGGCGCTACCACGAGATGGAGCTGGAGGTCAGGCGCCTGGAAAACGAGCGCGAGGAGCTCAGCGCCGCCTACCGCGAGGCTGAAGCAGTAGGTTTCCTTCAGCCTGAACTTCATTCGTAATTAAAGGATCTCGGATTTGGCTTTATAGTAATAGATCCTTATTGTGTCTCAAAACAAAATAAAAACGCCTCGAAATTTGTCAAAACGAAGCATGTATATATGAGGTAGCGGTATACTCGTATATCCTCTATTTTCAAAAGCTTCAAAACGCTAAATACCTGCGATTTTACACTTTTTCGTGAGAAAAAAAATTTGAAACTCACAGAGATTTGCTTGCAAAAAATTGAACAAAATCAGGTATGTTGTTCTATTTATATTCGTGGTAAAATGCTGTATGTCTCCTGCTTTTAAAACCAATTTTTTATTTGAGGCATTATCGAAATTAATTTTTAGAAAAGTAGCCATTGCAAAAGGTATTGTTTTTTCTGGAGAATTTCGGTTTTGGAAAACTGCGTAAATATTTTTGTTACCTCCGATAACCATTTTAAGGGTTAGGTTACTTTGATCGAAGAATTTCTTTCAAATCATGCTGCTGGAATTTAAAAAAAACTGATTTTTGAATATAAGAATTCCAAAAAGGTGTTCAAGCCTTTGCCTACAATTCTTTCTGTCAAGAATTGGTTTATGACCATTCGCTTCAATGTTTACTTCTGGGCAAGAGGAAATGTGGGAAGTTTATATACCCAAGAGTACAGTACTTTATTGGAGCTTTCGATAGACATCATCAAGGGTAGATTTTGTTTATTTTCTCGCATACTGAGACGTATATTATTTCTGAAAAAGTTAAATTTTTTCTGTAAATAACTCACATATCGTATTACATTCGGGTAGATTGTATTCAAGGAGAATTTTCAGTTTCAAATACCATATCTTATATAATTGTGTGCTGTCTTGAATAGGCCCAGACTTTACATGCCTATAAAGTTTACAAGCAAAATATTGCGGAAGAATTGGCAAAAAACAATGCAAAGCTTGTTATAAGACTCAGCTATACTGCAGTTTATTTACCAAATGATTCACCATCAAAAATTGATCTGAAAAATGTGTATTATTATTTTAGAAAAGCTCCTTCGATACCTTTCGAAAATTGGCGATGATAACCTTAAATTGATGAAGTAATTTTCATATTATTCGAAGGTTATTTTTATTTACTCACGGCGTTCAGTGAGTGGAAGTATATTTTTAAACCTTTATTTTCCAATTCCAGGGTTTTCAAATAGATAAGAGTTGAAAAAAAATTAACTTGATCGTCTGAGAAAATTTGGTACTCAATAAGTACAATTACCTCGCTTAGTTTTTAGGGCAATAAATGCCTCAAACATTACTAATTTCTGCCTCATCGGGACTTCATTCAATATATTCATATTGTCGGTATATAGTATTTTAAAATTTCATTGTGTAGTTTCTTTCATTACAGTATTATTTGTAATTTTCAACAGGCAAGGAAGGCCGAGGAACAACGTGCTCAGCGTTTGGCTGCTGAACTTGCACAGCTCAGGCATGACTTCGAGAAGAGGATTGCTGAGAAGGACGAAGAAATTGAGTCCATCAAGTGAGTATGAATCTATTCTTCAAATAAAAATACGTCATTGAAAGATTCCTTGAAAAACATTCTACTTGCATCAGACAAGACTAGGGAAAATTTGTAAAAGAAACATCGGAAGAAGGGCAGCTTTTTGGGATCATTCTCGAGCTCTCGACAGATAAATTACCAAAATCGATCCTACTTTTCTATTTCAAAAGAAATCTGTCTCGCGTTTCGACCGGGTTTCAACTAAAAATAATTTAAAGATGGCCCTGATAAAAATTATTATCGCTCTTGTCTGTTTCCAAGAGCAATTTATTCCTGAAAAAGGGAAGTGAATCATGTGATGACAAGCATTTCTCCGCTCACAAAAATATCAAGTATACAAATAATTTACCATGAATTGAAATGCAATTGAAAATTATCTGGGATCACGCTGAATACATACCAATCTAATTTTCCAGTTTTCTTTTTATTATGTCCCTCGATTGCTTGATATGCAATATAAGCTTTTTTTGCCAATTTTCAGCGTTCAGAAAGGTTCACGAAATTTTCCCACATCCGCCCATGCACACATCAATTCAACTGAGCAGCATTAAAAAAAAAATTTTCACCATATGGAATTAAAAGAAAATGCATCACAGTATACATGCAAATGTATAAATAATGAATTGCCAGCACTTTTTCTTTTCTAATAATGGCAAAAATCAGAGCACTTGACAATTCCTGAGCAAAAATCAAAGCACAAGGTTTTCAGCCTGATCCCAGATACATTTTAATCTATTAAAGAATTTAGAAAGACTCTTAAAGGATAAATCTTTTAAAGCAGAAACATTTTTCCAGAACCTTTTTCTCAAGTTTTAAGAATCCCAAGTCTTTTGAAAGATTTGTCCGTTGGTCTGACTTATACCAGACAGTCATTAGAAAAAAAGAATGTAAGTTGCTCAGATACTTTCTTCCAACACAAAGACGAATAAGAAACCAAAAACAAAAAACCCCGGCCTGCAATTGGAATAATTCCCATCTCAAAATTCCCGCGAACAAAATGATCATCGAAAAGACGAAGGAAAAAAGGCGGAAGAAGCGGAAGTGAAATCCCAGCTAGCAGGAATGTTTTTGGCACAAGACCACGACTGTAAAATAAACGCAAACCTCGAGTATTTCCCCTCCCCTCCCCCTCCCCCCGTTTTCCCTCTCTTATTCCTGCCAACTATTCTCAGTGGTTCCCTTGTCAGCTAAGACTCCTAAGAGTCCCACTAGTTTTTCTACCTGCCTTCGCCTCGAAGGTCACGCCAAGTCTCATTTTTCCACAGTGTCTTGAACCCCGTTTTTAATTGCGTTGATTACGCCATAAAAACCCCTCTGTGATGGTTGTTGGTTTGACACACGTGATGGCATACAAACAAAGCAGTTTGTATTCAGAAACTTAGGATGATCGCGAAGGTATAGATACGCAACTATTTTCGATCAAAGCGAAGCATAGATTGATTAAAGCTAGCTCAATATAATATTTGGCAGCATTACCTGAGAAAACTTTGATGGACGTGCTGATCATTACTTGTGAAATTCCTCGATATTGGAAACGTGGCTGCATGTGAATGAAAATTAATTTCCAGTGAACTCGAGTGCTTAAACTGATGGTTTCGAGCGGAATTCTGAAGAGCAATCGTGATTCTGATTCATTATTTAAGAAAGTGAACAAAAATACTCAACAGATCGTGCCGAGGAATTTAATTATATTTTATACGCATATAGGATTATAAAATTGTATTGAGTTTAGAGTTAGTGAATTAGTTTTCTGTGATAAACAGGTAGAACGTTGTCTATGTCATTGATTTTGAAGGTCAGGACTGGAAAGAAACACTGAAGCTTACTCGTTTTTTTTTTCTCCAGTACTTGGCACTGATGACCTCATAATTTTTTTTCGGATCATTGCTCGAAGTCTCTTCCAAAAAGTTTAGCGCAGAGAAATGCCCAGTCGTTGTTTTATTCTTCGTCGCAAAAGTAGCTGAGATTAATTTTAGTACTTCTGAGGGGGAGAGATTTTTTACAGATCCGTCAAAAATTATTGTAAAACACGACCGAACTTGGACTAAAATTACTGGGAGAGCAATGATTGTTGGCGATTCAAATAAATTTACGGCTTTTTTTCCCCCTCAGGCTATTCATCAGTTTAATGCAAGAAATTCATAAATTAAAAATTACCAACAAGGATTAATTCTGGTGTTGAGCTAAGTCAGACGCTGGTTTTCATCGTGAGAGTGTCCCGAAGTCAAATCGTCCTTTTGTTTTTGGGGTCCCATTGTAGTTATTTATCCTCTCGCAGATGTCGCTCGTGCATCCATTCTCATTCTTTGGTTCCGCAAAAATAAACTATCGCGTCTGCCATTCATAATCTGAACCCCAGGCAAAATTCCACATTCGAGAAGTGCGTGCGTTTACTTCGTTTTTTCCTTCATAATCGCTATACAGTATTCTGTTATTCCTGGATCTATGGGATGAATTGAGACAGACACTCTTGGAGACAGGTTCAATTTGAGACATGGCCAATTTGAGTCAGAGACTTTTAGAGACATGAAAAATTTTAAATGGAAACAATTGGAGACAAAGACAATTTGAGACAGGAACATTTGGAGACAGAGAGAATTTTGAGGAATTTTGAGTCATGTACTATGGAAACAGAAGCATTTCCTTGCATTCATTTCTCTCTTGATCCACTGCAATACACTGAAATTTCTTTACATGACACGATATATGGAAAAGCATCTATAGCACACAAGTATTTTAATGGAATATTTCTAACCAAGCAGATTTCAAATATTCAAATTTTGAAAAGAGTATAAAATTCCCCAAGATTCACGAAGAATCTTAGGAAAACCCAAAAATTAAGTGGAAAGGGAAAACAAATTTGAAGTGTGCTGAGTTACTTTGGGACTGCCTCAAATTGTCCCTGTCTCTAAATTTCCGTGTCTCCATTGTCCCAGTCTCCAAAAGTTTCTGTCTCAATATCTCCAGTCTCACGTTGTCTCTCTCAATTTGTTTGTATCACGTTGATCTTTCAAATAATTCAAATGAAATACACAAAATCATTTGCATCAGGAATTTCATACGCGTTGTGAAAAAAAAATTGTTCATAATGTCAAGCAACGAGATGGAATTATTGTTGGCTCGCGCGAATGACGTGGTGCGAATGGCAAACAAGGCCAGCAACCTCACAGACGACGATCCTCCAATGAGTCCCTTCTACTGGTGAGATGATGAGAATAAATACCTCATCAGCGGGAGAAATAAGTCCTTCAAACCGACGAACAACCGTACCACATGTGCCAATACATCCAGCAGATCAACAACAACAAAAATGGGAACACAGAAACAGAGAGAAAAGAAACATACTGTACTGTATACCACGACAACCTCCTCCGTATCTGAATATTCTCCCGTATTTCACGTCATTGTTGTCGTGTCATCAGGAAGCAGATGGCCGTGGAAATGGAGTCGTTGAACGGACGTTTGGCAGAGGCCGAGATCAAGCTCAAGACCGAGGTGACTCGCATCAAGAAGAAGATGCAGATGCAGATCACGGAGCTGGAATTGTCCCTGGACGTGGCCAACAAGAACAGCATCGAGTTGCAGAAAACGTGCAAGCGCCAATCCCTGCAAATCACCGAGATCCAGAACCATTACGACGAGGTCCAACGTCAATTGCAGGTCGGTATATAAATACACGAGTGCATCCATATTTTTTTCATGCTAATGAATTTATATTTAATGAAATTGGGTTCTGTTTATCTATGTACAGGTCTGACTTGTATAACTGATGGATAAAAAGCAATTACAACTTAGCCCTTATTGGATGGCAGAGAATACCTTTCAATTGTTTGGCAGAGTTGGGATGTTGTTGGGGGTGGAGCATTTAAGTTTGACCCAAGGTCACTAAAATGCTCCCAGCAGGTTGAGAAGGCCTAAGTCAGGAAAATCAATGGAGGCAAATGTTTTATTGTTTAGAGGAATCTCCTGTGCTAATCCTATGCTTGGAGTGCAGGAAAAAATGCCACCCAGAGGCAGATTTTTTTTCAATTCAAAATTTTCTGCAGGATTAAAAAAAAATTGTGGGACTTCTTCCTAACTTGGGCCTTGGTTCAAAAGTAGGATTTAATTTAATTTCCCACGCTCACTGGCACAATATTGCGCAAAAATATCCCAACTTTGCTACACAAGGGTTAGGGACACTCCCACTAAAATGTGGGAGGGGTCTGCAATTGACTTGTAGGATTATTGGAGGATGTGGATCTCGGTTTTCAAACAAGGCGTTAAAGAATTTCATTGTGTGTATGCAAATGCCTGCAGGTGACACTGGACCAGTTTGGCATTGCTCAGAAGCGAATCACAGCACTGACAGGAGAGCTGGATGAGATGAGGGCCGCCCTCGACGCCGCCATGCGAAGCAAGCGCAATGCTGAGCAAATGTACGACGAGGCCCACTCCCGACTCAATGAGCTCACCACCATCAATGTCAACTTGAGCTCTGCCAAGGCCAAGTTGGAGCAGGAATATGCTGCTTTGCAGGGTGACTACGACGAGCTGTCCAAAGAGCTGAGGGTGAGTACCATTTTCACTTGAGTATATATAATGTACCACAAAGCATCCTCGAGTAAGACACTCACCCAGATTTCCAAGTCCAAAAATGTTGATGAAATTGTATCCTCAAGAAAAATGTGCACCACATTTTTAGTGACTGCAGAACTACAATATTCCACAAATTGGACTCGCCATATTAATTTAGACATGAATTGAATTAATTTTTAATTTTTTCACACACAAAAAAAAACATTCTACTGAAATGGGTCCAAAATTGCCCATTAGAATCAAGCACTATGATGTGCACCTAAACTTTTAAAAATTGCTTGAAAATTTTATTCCTGTGCATGACATGCCCCCTTCCTATTCATCTCTCAACTTTGAGAGAACAGAATTTGGTGGTACACAAGTATGTACTGCATATCATTTATTTTCAAATCTATGATATAGAGTATACAGTGGCCCCCCGCCTAACAGACCTCCCATGTAAGGGATTTTCGCCAAACAGACCAGCTCTGCAAGCAGTTTTTCCTCCCACCCAACAGACAAAATCCGCCAAAGAGACTTCTTTTGGTTTAAAATTAGTGTTGAAAATTGAAATTTTTAATTTTTTATGTAATTGAATTTGTGTAAAGGACTTTTTGTCTAACAGACTTGTCCCTTGCATGAATCAAGTCCGTTAGACGGGGGTTGACTGTACTTTACTTATACATGGGTACCATGCAAACCTTCTTTGTCAAAATTATGTGGGGGCAAATTAAGGAGTGTGAGTGTCATAAACAGGTGCACATTCTTTCAACTCTTGTGCAGCAAAGTCAGGACACGTTTTCAAAATGTCATGCCTGCTGTGAGCACTGAAAAAAAAATCCCATTTATTACTTACATTTAAAAAATTTGAGCATTCCTAGCATACAATTAACATTGGGGATTTCTCAAGACAATAGGATATTCTCTACCTGGATTTTTCCCAACTTAGGCCTTCTCAACCTGCATTTAGTGACCTTTGCTGTCAAGCTGTATAATGAGCTTCCCCCCCCCCCCCAAGGATTTTTTGTTTTGTTCAATTTTGTCTTTTCTATTTTGCAGATGGCTGATGACAGGTTCCAAAAGTCCACTGGCGAGCTGAAGCACACCGTGGACATCCTGCACGAGGAGCAGGAACGCGTCGTCAAGATCGAGAGCATCAAGAAGAGCCTGGAGGTCGAGGTCAAGAACCTGACGATCCGCCTGGAAGAGGTGGAGGCCAACGCCCTGATTGGCGGCAAGCGCGTCATCAGCAAACTCGAGGCCCGCCTCCGCGACCTGGAACTCGAGCTGGACGAAGAAAAGCGCCGCCACGCCGAAAGCATCAAGATCCTGCGCAAAAAGGAGCGTCAGGTCAAGGAGGTCATCATCGCCGCGGAAGAGGACCGGAAAAACGCCTGCCTCGCCCAGGAAGCCGTGGACAAGCTGTCCGAGAAGATCAAGATGTACAAGCGACAACTCAACGAGCAAGAAGGCATGTCTCAGCAGAGCGTGACTCGCGTCCGCCGTTTCCAGCGGGAACTGGAGGCGGCCGAAGAAAGGGCCGACTCTGCCGAGTCCAACCTGTCCATGATCCGGGCCAAGCACCGCACTTTCGTCACCGCCATGCCCATTTCCGGCGCCGGCCAGCAGCAAACGTCCTACGCCATCGTCGAAGAGCACCACCGCAGCACCACGCACGACGTGTCCTATTAAAACTCGTCGCGAGCACGCAGTGGCGCCGCGCCCTTCATTCGTCATCACGATGATGCTCCAATCATGGAACCCGGCCACCCACTGCACCCTCCTCCGTCACACCCCCGCCAAGGCCTTTATTCCGAATCCGCGAAAAAATAAAATCACTCAAATTCCAATAAGATCCGTCACGACCATATCAGGGATGTCTGGTTACTACATACGTACGTGGAGTCCAGGATAAATTTTCAGACCCAAGTGCTGTTACCCGAGATGAGGAACAAGCGTTTAAAAAAATAAATAGAGGGAAAAATTTGTTGGCGGAATTCACTGAAAGTGTGAAAAATGGGTGATGGTGCACAATCAGTCGCCCTGTTCTGGATTTGATGCAATAAAATCAGAATTCGAAATCTTTTCATGATAAAATGCAGTCAAAGGAGGATACCATGTTCCTTTTTTTGTAAGTACGTCAAATTTTCAGTTTTTGTCGAGCTCAATCAGTAAAGAAGAGCCTGGTATATATGCTGTGGCCCAAAAAGGTTATTTAAAAATGTTTTCAAAAGCTCAATTGATGGAGAATCCAGAAAAATATTGAGGAAATTTTCCACTTCACAAAAGAACCAGACAACCCCTCATCGTCACTTGAGCGAAATGTTCAATCGCGCAAAAAAAGTCACGAAATGGCAAAATTCGCGCATTGCTTTCCCTCGCGCAAAAGAAAAAAAAAGGCGTCTATCATGTCAGAGAATTACGAGGAAAGCTTACAACAATTAACATCGAGAATTATTCCATCAAAAATGATGCGGGAGATTTCAACAATTTCTCGATTACTAATTGCGCCGAAGGAAAATGCCCAAATCGCGGATTCAAAGAAAAGGACGTATACGTTTCGCGGATTCGGACAGTGTACCAATTTTTTCGAAATCGACGAAGGAAAAAAAACAGCGACAGTGTCCGCAACTCGAGTCACTCCCTCTTCTCCAGTTATTTCGGGTTTTCAAATTAACTGTCGCTTCTTTCTTTTTTTGTTCTTTTGTTGTCCCCGTCGTGTACACCCAGAAACGTGTCGACTCTGTCTTCTTTCTTCTTGAAACCTGATTATCAACGTGTTCTTGCCTCTTTTTTGAGTCGCAGAGTGAGAGAAAGAAAGGAAGAAAGAAAGAGAGAGAGAGCAGAAGAAAAAAATGAAAACGAAACGACGACGCAAACGAACTATGAAGAAAAAAAAACACTGATTTCGTTCATTCATTCAATCATTGGCTGATAGAAGCAATTGAGTGCGTTCATTGTTAGTGAGCTGGAGCGGAATCGAAAAACAAAACAAAAAAATTAAGGAATTAAGTGTTCATTATGTCTCACCACCGTCTCGTCGCGAGAGAGAATCGAATAAAGCTGCGAGGCTCCACGTTTGTTTTCCAACCTTTCCTTGCTCTTTCTTTACCTGCTCACCTTTTATTTCTTCCTTCTGTGTATTATTATTTTTTTGGGTCCTCTTTAAGGGAATTAAATGCATTCTTTCTTTTTTTCAAAGGGTTGTTAGAATCATTGTATACAATTTGAGATTATTTGAAAATAAGCAAAGTGAGTTATTCAACCCAGAGCAATTAGTTCAATAATAAATTTCATTTTGTGGAATTGCTTTCCTATACATGGAAGGATTTGAGATATTCTAGAAATGAGGATTTCATGACAGCACAACATTAACTTTGTTTTTCAAATGATCAACCTATCCTTGTTAGATGAAACTTATAATTATGATACAAGTTTAGGCCAAACAAGTATATTTTTCCTGAAATACAAGTGGCACCTTGCATTTGACCACAATGCATTGCTGGACTAGTGTAAAATTGCAAATCAGTCAAATTGTAAGACACTTTTTAAGAGTTAGAAAAATGAGCAAATAAATGCAAAAAAGTGACCAAAGCAGGTTGAATTCTGAAGGAGAGGCTGGATTGCAAGTCAAACTCCCTGCAAATTTGACTCTCAAAGTGCAGGACAGTCAAATTGTGGGAGTTCAAATTGCAGATACCACCTGTGTAAGGTTTTACCAGTAAGAATTAGATTAATCAAGCCTTACACCTTGATTGCGGTTTTTAGCAGAGTTTCCAGGATTTAGATTTTTCAAGATAGAGAAAAAATAAATCAGAACACGGCAATTGGCCGGGCGCGAACCGACCGGGATTTCTCCCTACTAGCGCA